CACCTCATAACACAAGGTGAACTGAATGACCTTGTCAGGGATTTGGAACTACCCAAGAGTAAGGCAGAGCTGTTGGGCTCCAGACTACAGCAGTGGAATCTCCTGGCAGGTGATGTTAGGGTTTCCATGTTCCGTGACCGTCAAAAGGATCTTGTCCCATTCTTCTTCATGGAAGGTGATCTTGTAGCCTGCAACAACATCGATGGTGTGATGGCAGCCCTCAACATCGTTCACAATCCAGATGAGTGGAGACTGTTCATTGATTCATCAAAGACGAGTCTTAAAGCTGTTTTACGGCATAATGGCAATGTTTTGCCATCAATTCCAGTTGGTCATGCAGTCCATATGAAGGAAACCTATGACAACATGAAACAACTTTTGAGGTGCATAAACTATGACCAACATCAGTGGCAGCTTGAAGGTTGTTGCTCTCTTGCTTGGTCTGCAGACTGGATACACAAAGTACTGCTGTTTTCTCTGCGAATGGGATAGTCGTACAAGAGATTCCCACTACATCAAGAAAGATTGCCACTCCGACAGTCACTGGAGCCTGGGAGGAAAAGTGTTCAGCATCCACCACTTGTTGAACCAAGGAAGATTTTGTTACCACCCTTACACATCAAGCTGGGTCTGATGAAGAACTTTGTCAAGGCCATTGACAAAACACAAGCAGCTTTCAAGTACCTCTGTGGAAAATTTCCAAAGTTAAGTGAAGCTAAGATAAAGGAAGGTGTCTTTGTTGGTCCTCAGATTCGTGAACTTCTTCGAGATGATGCATTTGACCATGCACTGCGTGGCAAGGAAAAGATGGCATGGAAAGCCTTCCAGTTAGTGGCAATACATTTTCTCGGAAACAACAAGGCAGACAACTACAGGTTGTTGGTGGAAAACCTCCTCAAGGCATACAAAAGCCTTGGTTGCAACATGTCACTAAAGATACATTTTTTGCACTCTCATCTAGATTTTTTTCCACCAAACTGCGGAGCAGTGAGCGACGAGCACGGCGAGCGATTTCACCAGGACATTGCAACAATGGAGAAACGCTATCAGGGCAAATGGGGCCCATCAATGCTTGCAGACTATTGCTGGACAGTGACAAGAGATGCTCCATTTAATGAATACAAGAGACAAGCCAAGAAGCGCCGAGTAGACACTGAATAGGACTAAACTATGTACAGAATAGTTTTTTGCCTTTTGTTTAATAATAAATTTTATTTATATAACCCTTTTGCTGATTTTTAAAGTGTTACATAAACAGGACAGGTGAAATATTATCCTGTAAAGCAACCATAAACACATGAAAAGACCTAGGTTTACAATTTATGATTAAAACTCTACTATCTACACAATATACATAGACATAAAATGTAAAAACTTAAATATCTTAGAAACAGTAGCCAATCAGTTGTTTTAATTGTCATATTTGAATTCAGCACATCAAAATACATAATAAATAGCACATTTTATCTCTGAAGCAGACGACTTCTCAAAAATTGTAGACCAGTGTAATCAGTCTCCATTACTCTCTTACATCTGTAAAGACAAGAGAGACCACAGGAAGTATAGCAGAGTTTGCCCTTTTAACTTAACGCAAACATAGAATCATAGAATATCAGGGTTGGAAGGGACCTCAGGAGGTCATCTGGTCCAACCCCCTGCTCAAAGTAGGACCAATCCCCAGACAGATTTTTGCCCCAGATTCCTAAATGGCCCCCTTAAGGATTGAACTCACAACCCTGGGTTTAGCAGGCCAATGCTCAAACCACTGAGCTATCCCTCCCCTCTGTATATTGCCTCTATATAAATCTATGGTACGCCCAGATCTTGAATATTGCATGAAGATGTGGTCGCTCCATCTCAAAAAAGATGTATTGGAATTGGGAAAAGGTACAGAAGAGGACAACAAAAATGATTAGGTGTATGGAACAGCTTACATATGAGGAGAGATTAATAAGACTGGGACTTTTCAGCCTGGAAAAGCGACAACTAAGGGGGAATATGATAGAGGTTTATAAAATCATGACTATTGTGGAGAAAGTATATAAGAAAGTGTTATTTACTCTTTCTCATAACACAAGAACTAGGGTCACTAAATTAAATTAAGAGGCAGCAGCTTTAAAACAAACAAAAGGAAGTAGTTCTTCACACAACGCACAACCTGTGGAACTCTTTGCCAGAGGATGCAGTGAAGGCCAAGACTAGATGAGTCAAAAAAGAACTTGATGAGTCCATCAATGGCTATTAGCCAGGATGGCCAGGGATGCAAAACCATGCTCTAAAATGTCCCTAGACTCTGTTTTCCAGAAGCCGGGAATGGGCGACAGGGGATGGATCACTTGAGGATTGCCTGTTTTGTTCATTCCCTCTGAAATACCTGGCATTGGTCACTGTCGGAAGACAGGGTATTGGGCTATATGGACCATTGGTCTGACCCAGTATGGCCATTCTTATGTTCTTATGCAATAGCAACATAGTTATTTTTAATAAGCCTCTGCTCTCTTGGATGTCACAGCATGCTAACAGTTGCCAGAATCTGCATGCAAAACACATGATGGCTGATGGCATGAAATAATGTCTTGTAATACATATGAGGATAGACAAGCACGTTGGGGTAACATTGTCAAGCCTCGGATTCGGTGCTTAATTATACAGAGAAAAAAGAGTTCCATGTTGTGCATGAAAAAAGTCTGTTATAAGAATGTCAATGACTGAAAGTCAGACTAGCCATTTGGTTAAAACAATAGTTGCCAGTATCCCATGTGGTCTGGTTTGAGAGCTGAATGCTGATTGAGTAAAGCAAGCTGTGTGTCTGTCCTCTTTCTTCTCACTCTCACTGTAGAAAGATTTTAAAATTCAGCCAGGTCAGGAGCACTGTTAACCAACTGCAGCTAGTTTAAATTAAGAAGATTAAAGGTGAATATGTTGCTTGTGAACAAAGACTTCACATAAGTTCTTTCTTAATTCACCTTTTGAGGAATGGAACAGGGTGTCGTATTAGAGATATTTAACTTGGCAATGGCTTTTGAAAGGTCTAAGATGATTGCCAGTCTCTGGAAAGTGATTAGTAAAATGCACATTGATCACAGTGTATATTAGGAAGGAGGGGCCATTTGGAAGAGGCAGCAGACTTGGTTTTCCTATTTAGCCATGAAGGTTTATTAGCATTTGAACATCGACAACAGACTTGAAAAAAGGAAGAACTAGCATTGTATTCCAGCTTTTTGATATAGTAGAGTCATTGGGGGGTGGAAGGAAAAAACTGTATGGCTATTCAGATGAATCTATGTGTCCATTCTACAGAAGAATTTTCACAGGGTTTGTAACTCAGCCATAAAAAAATGTGATCGTGGTTGAAACTCTGGCAAGCGAGGTCTCAGCCTGAAAATGGTGGTTTTAGGAAATTTAGTTTTTGAGTTATGCAAGTGCAAATTCTACTTGAGAAATGTTATATGTAAAGACTTTTTTTTTTTTTTTTTGCATTTGTTTATCTCCAAAACACATTCATTTTTGAAAATGAAATTTACTAGTGTGTCCCTACTGTGGACATCTCACCTTGAAAAAAGGAGTTATTTCATTTTATAAAAATGAATTGCTGCGCAGGTGGGGTAGTATTTGATCACTTTAAAAGTTCCTGTCAGTGGGTTTTTTTTTTTTTTGTTCTTTTTGTTTTTGTTTGTGGCCTTGCTGTGCATTTTGCCCAGCCGTATTTAGTCTGCATACTAAATGTTAGTCTCCCCAACTATATTTACTTTGTGAACTTAGCTTTTTTTCCCCTTCACCCAGATGTATTGTAAATTGAAGTAGATTTTACTCTGACGGGCCGGATTTTAGTCCGTGCACTAAATTTTAGTCCGCAGACTAAAAAATAATCCGCGGATTATTTACTAAATCAATTCCCTCACTGAAAACTACATTAAGAATGTTTAACTGTCTCACCAGAACATAAAAGTGAGGGAGTTCACAGCTAACGGTGAGTCACGTCTGTCCTCTAGGCACTTGGGCACAATAGAGCACTGACACCATCCCAGCTTTCAGGATGCGCCCCATTGTGCTTAAGTGTTGGCATACATATTGTTGTGCACTTCACCTGTAACTGTGACTGTCCCTTGCTCTTAATGTTTAATGTTGTACCCTTTTGTGTAGTTCTTGGTGGGTGAATTAGTCAGAATTTCAGGTGGAACTGTGTTGAATTACTATAGCTAAAAGATGCAGGTTTTTGCTTTAAGTAATGGGTGCGAGGGTATAAGGGGGAAAATCCCACAATAAAGTGAGAAAATTAAGTCCATACCCTCACTCCTGAGGAGACATGTCCAGTTCCTGAAGAATCCTAAAGAGATAACATCATCAAAACAAATCCATTGGTGGGGAAGTCAATCCAAAATGGAGAATAATCCGCGGCGGCCTGATACACTCATAGCTCACACAAATTTAAGACAGCCAAATTAGAAATACAAATTAAAACTTATTTTCTCGTCAGCAGAAATCATAAATTGGTTTTTAAAAAAATTTTCACAGTGTGTCTCTGGGACAGATTTACAGAGGAAAAATATGTATGTAGTCTGTGCATGAGGGATGCACACACTAAGACAAACTAATTCAGCCCCATTGTCTATGGACATTTATATCCAGGACAGAGAGGACTGCAAATTCTTTAATATGGCAGCTCAGTTACCCTTTTCTTTCTAGTTAGAATTTTGATTTCAACTTTTTTTGTTATTTATTTTTTAGTAAACGCACTGGCATTGGAACATAAATTAACATAGAAATGTTTCTATACTATGCCTCACCATTGCACAATCAATTTTTTTGGCATACACTGTGGTCAAGTTGGACTTGCTGCTATGGAGACTGATGTTTAAAGTTTCTAATTGTATAAACATTTTCTATGTCCCCCACGCCATGGATTTCTTATAATATTGGATATATTTTTCCTTGCTGGACTATTCTCTTTTGGATTGACTCCCCCTGTTTGGATTATTTCACTGCATTATCATCTTTAGGACTCGTCAGGAACAGGACATTTCACCTCAGGAGTGCGGGTATGTACTTAAACATTTTTTCAAATTATTAGGGCTAGTCTTGAAAAGAGGAGAGAGAAAAGCTAGAAGTGGAAAAGTTGGGTTCAAACAGCCACACATCAGCTAGCACCAGGTGAATATTTTCCCCGTGTCATACAAGATGGTAATGATTAGATAGGCGTAGATCTGCACACGTTTCACTTTTTAATTACTCTTTATTTGCGGAGGGTGGGTATTTGTGTGGGGTTTTTTGGTTTTTCAGTTTCTGACGTATAGATTATTGTAGTAATTGCTTACCTTGAGTGACTCATTCCCAGTCCAGACAGAGGCTGAGCAGTTGTTTCTTAAATTCTATAAATGTTGACAGAAGTTCACTGACCTGAAAGATGAAGAATTTAAGGGAGTGGGGGGTCAGAGGGATTCCTTTGTTAAAGGGCAGATTTCAGTGGTTCTCTGTTTTCTATCTTCATTTAATAAAAGGAGACTGTCCTGTTCTTGTATGGGCTGTAGCTTGGGAAACGTATGCCACTGCACCACCCTTGTATTGTGGTCAGTAATCCGAACTCTGGAGGCGATGGGTTTTGACACAGAATGTAAATAACCTCCATCTACCTCTACCCCTCCCTCTAAAAATATACACACAGCTACTTCAAGCGTGGAAGTCAGCAGAAGTTCTGTGACTGCAGGGGCTACAGCATTTGGGCTTTTGTGCCAAACTGAAGCTATTTCTTACATTACTGTAGTGCCCACGGTATCTTCCCAGCAACCTGAACAAATTCTGCTCTCTTAGTACCTTAACTCTTTGATTCCAGGAGTCAGGATTCCCTGACATGATGAGTTAGTACTGAATGCATTAGAACTAACTCAGGTGCTCCTGACCCAGCTGGGCACCAACGGGTTAAAAAAAAAAATCAGTCAATTGTTGTCAGTGACCTGATTAATTTTCATTAATATGAGCATAAATGTCTTCAGTTTAAAATCTACGGAAGCAGAGCCTGTCCAGGTGCCTGGGGCTGCAGTCAGTTAGCATGTGATGTATAGGTCATTCCTTGGGGCTAGGTGGTTTGGGTTCACCTGCATTGGTGCAAAAGCATTTTGGATTAGCTCAATTGCATCAAAAATGCTGACATCAGAATTTAACACTCCCATCCCACCTCACTTCTCCCTGGCCTGTATTCTACGTGCAACAGAGTGAACGGAAACTGCTCGAGCAGGGTGTTAAGGACATGGATGTGACTGTCCAATTTTGCCTTGAATGTAATGAGATGGGGAAGGCAGATTTGGGGTGTCATTCTGGCTATGTAGGACCATTTTTTAAGGGACAACTTCAAGGAAGAACTGCTGTGAACTCTGTGCTTTATATCCTCAAGGTAAACTTCTGAGAGAGTCAAATAGTTTTCTCACTCACCATCTTTTAGTGTTCTCACAAACTCCAAATGTGCAGGAATTATCCCTGTTAATAGGAATCACTTAACACAAGAAGGTCAAGAAGAAGAAGCACCTGTAAACTTGAACTAGAGCTTTTCTGCACCAAGCCTGTTCATTTCCAAACTTGAACAGTGTCATCCATAGCAATAATCTGACCAACTTGCCTGCAAAAATCCACATTGGGGGAAAAATCATTTGTTTACTGCCAAAATGAACGGTGGCGACCTTTTTAATTTTAACTTTCAGTCAATCCTGCTCATTTGCACCCCTCTCCCCATCATATGCATGGCTGATTTCACCCACTGTGTTTGTTGTCATAAGATCAATGAATTTTCCTTTAATTCTTAAAGTTGTTTTTCTGAGCTCTCCCATGCAGCCTTTCACTAGCATTGCACCCTCCACCCACATAGCAAAACCCTTTGCACTTAACCTTTTCAACCCCAGAAGCTGGATTCTCCCATCCCAACACATGAGGACCCATTATATTAGCACAAATAGCATTTAGTTTCAACTCACTAAGCACTGAGAGATTTAATTGCTCAGACTTGCTGCAGTAATAAAAAAGAAACAAGTCCAAACAATCTGTCTCTTGTTTTTCTGTAGGTCTTCCGACCCCGCACTCCACCAGAAGCAATCGCGCTCTGTAGCCGTCTGCTGGAGTACACCCCCACTGCCCGCCTGACTCCCCTGGAAGCATGTGCGCACTCTTTCTTCGATGAACTACGGGACCCAAATGTCAAACTACCCAATGGGCGAGAGAAACCTGCTCTCTTCAACTTCACCACTCAAGGTAGCCTGTGAGCGTTGAGGAGCCTTCCGTTGGGAAGAAGCACTGTGCCAAAAGTTCTGTCATACAAATGCTATTCCCCCAGTAGTAAAATCAAGAGGTGGGGCAAGAACATGGACCAGTTGTATAGCCAGTGATCGTTCTCAAAAATGGACTGCATCAGTTTTGGGGGAGGGGAGGAAAGGGTTATGAAATCGTTATCCTCTTGCATTATTGATTCAAACTCAGTCCATGGGACTGGAAATCATTACTGTCTGATTGCATAAAGTAAGTTTGCAGTTTCAGTCCAATTCCTAGTGTCCACAGTCCAAGTGACACCTTTGTTTGGAGTCTCACCACAAAGGTTGAGGACCCAGTGGACTACGGGAGACTGAATTGCCTTCTAAAGATGACCCTGTTCATCATGTTTGAAGCAGGTTGTTGGGAAGCAATGTGGAAAAGCTTGCATTGCTGCTGCCCAGGTTGCCTGGTCTGGGGGGGGGAATATGAAGTCCTTAGTTCTCCAGGGCTGTAAATACTACATCTGTCATCCAGTAGTAAATAGAGTAAGAACTTTTGAGGAAGTAACTTTTTAAATTACACAGCATGACCCTGAAATGTTTCATGTTGAACTATCTGCAGCCACACCAGTACCAAATTAGCCATCCTTCCCCTCCTTTCCCCCCAAAAATATGTACATGCAAAGATTACATCCCTTACATCATTTATTCTCTCCATTCACATTTGATGAGTCTTCAGGGTTGGTTTGGTTAAGTATGGAGTGCAAGAAATGTGGTGTACAAGCTTGTTAGTGTTGTAGTCTTCTACATAAATAGCTGCAAGCTCTGAGCATTAGGGCGGGGAAGAATCCCTATGCACTGTTATCTGCTAGGAATCTGTCCCCATTCCAGTTAAGCTCATGTAATTTAGGCATTGAGGCCTGCTCTGTAGTAAGTGCAAGATCCACCTTCTTATGCCTGAAACAGAGGCCTGTCCATGCTCCCAGCTTTGGAACATGGTGCCCAGTTGTAACCCAGGTAACTGAAGCAAGGTTTGTGTCCGTACAATGTAACTTTTAAACCATGCTACCACATTAGTTCAGGCCCTGCCAGGGAGGGTAAACACAAATGTAGTCTTTTGACTTAACACAGTGGTTCTCAAACTATTGTACTGGTGACCCCCTTTCACATAGCAAGCCTCTGAGCGTGACCCCCCCTTATAAATTAAAAAAACTTGTTTTTATATTTAACACCATTATAAATGCTGGAGGCAAAGCGGGGCTTGGGGTGGAGGCTGACAGCTCGCGACCCCCCCCCCCCCCATATAATAACCTTGTGACCCCCTGAGGGGTCCCAACCCCCAGTTTGAGAACCCCAATTTAACATGATTCACACTACCCATGTGGGAAGTGCACTGCTTTGGATGTACCAAAACACTTCCCAGAGAGAGAGTGGACAGGCTAAACCGATTTGGAATGTAGTTTTAACAACACACACAGGGCCGATATACATTACAAGGGGAGATTGTTGTACTGTTTAGTCCTGCTAGATCTGTAAAAAGCATTGTCCACACACAACATTGTGCAAGTGTTGCTAGTATTGCTGAAATTGCACAACCTCCCACATCACTTTGAGCAGGGGGCTGGACTAGATGACCTCCTGAGGTCAATTCCCGCCCTAATCTTCTATGATTCTATGATCACTTCCATCCACAATCATTTACACATTTTTGCCGCCCTGAACTACCAGTGTTGTAACAGAGCCTACCAGCTCAGTCCCACTGAGGGATCTGATATTCCTGTTACTACTGTGCTGTGTTAGTCATTACTAGCGTGAAGTTTTGCAGTTGAACCAGCAGATCAGAAAATTATTTTCTGCCTCTGACACAGAGCTGCCATTTTGCCAGTGTCTTTTTTTTAGGCAGTAAAGAGCAGTCAGTGTATTGTTTTATTTTGGTTTTTTAATCAGAAAGTTTCATTTGAAACCTAACTGTGTCTCCACATAACTAGAACTCTTCGCACTATAACCTTCTGAGTACTCTTGCAGGTCCAGTTTACTTTCAGACAAAATAGCTTGGCTTGGAAGCGGGTGCAGTCTGAAATGTATGGGGGCTGAAACTCTGAAGGGCTTGTCTATGTTGAGAAGAAATTGTTGTACGGACATAATTGCGTGAAAAGTTTGGTCCTCTCACTTGTCCTTGTGACTGTTTAGCAATGTTTGCGTATGCAGCAAACAGGTCTTAAAAATGTAGTTTTACCAATGCATTCTGGGATTCCTGAAGTAACTAACCCATTGATACTGGGAACAGAGGCTACTGGTCTATTTCTAAACACAAGACATTGCAATGGTATGGAGTTAGGAGGACAAGCTGAACTGGTACCTCTGTAATGTTTGACTTCCTTTTCCTTGATGGGGATATACCTCTGTAAACTGCACTGATTCTGCTAGAACTGAACTAAAGACATGGTCCAAGTTGTGGCAGCCAGTCCTTGTAAGATGTCTTGGACAATTGTGTGTGGACAGAAGATGCTGAAGTCTTTGCAATCTGAAGGCATTCCAGACAAAGGCTTCCTACAGCCATATTTAGTTTATTTATTAACAGAGTGTAGAGTGGGCTTCAGAGTGCTGAATTGGGGATTTGATTCAGTTAGGCACCCTAAAGTTAAGGTTCTTTTTCATATCTTGGGCTGGAAATCTTCTGAGAGAGAAGGGAGGCAGGCAGGCTGCAGATAACACAAATCTAGCCATTCCCTGCAGTATTTTGGCATGTCCAGTATTGGGCAGAACCAGGAGGTGTGTTGCAGCTACACACAAATGAGAGAAAACGTATTCAATCAAGTTTTTAACCAAATCTTTAATTAAACTTCAACAAATTGCAGTTTGTTTTGGGTCAGTTATTTTCTCTGAATTGATCCATCCGTCTCTAGTTGAAATATTGTGATATTCACAGCATCCTGAATTTAGATTCCTAGTTACAATGAGGAGGGTGCGGACCTCTTCTGCCTATTATCTCTACTCCCTAGTGTAGCTTCTAACATGTTTGCACTTCTAGTAGATTTTTCTGCCTGAACCACAGGTGGGAAGATGCTTAGTGAGTGAAAGTGGCTATTCTGCCAGTGTGAGCTGAATTCTTTAATGACTGGATGCAGGAAGAATCACAGTGGAATGGAAGCTGTGTTGACTCATTGTAGTTATACTAGGTCAGCCATACCTTTTAGACATTGGGAGTCTGGCTATAGACACTTGGCCGCAATACATTTTAACTGGGTGTGCTATCTCTAAAACACTCCCGTCAAGGGGTACTGTGTCAAGCAAGATGAATGACGTTTTTACTGCGCTCTTGGTAGGGTAAGTGTCCATATTTCCACTTCATTTCCCTGTTGGATTACATGCCAGTGGCTAACAGAGCTGTAGAAAGAGCGAGATACACAGTGGGTTTCCTATACCAACTGATTTAAGAAATTACTCTGGGGCGGGGAAGGAGGAAATAGTGGAGTAACTTCTTTGGGCCTGGAGCGGCTAGTAGCCGTGTGCTCATAGTTAGATGATGTTGGTCTGGTTTCAGTTATTGCAGTGACTCATGTTTGTTTATGGCCAGTCAGTATTTCTGTGTATTTTGAGGAAGCACAGCCCAACACTGTACACTGGTGAGAGGTTAGTAAGTAGTCAAAATGGGCTTTCTCCAGCTTGGCTTCTCAGTCAATTACTTTTTCTTTTTACGTTATTTGTTGAGAAAAATAAAAAAATCAAATGGACACGTCAGCCCCTTATAGGCCCTAAATTCAGTATACATGTTACAGAAAAGCTATAGGCTCCTTAATCTGCCTCGTAAATAAAACCCAGTAGCTAGTGACAGTCATGTACAAAACCACCCTGGGTGTCTGTGGGATGATTGGACTTGGTTTCAGGACAGATTTTTCTCTCTTTACAGGGTTTATAATAACTACTGTCTGCATGCGCTTCTCTCCCAGGCGAGTTCTTGCAGTGCCAAGGGTTGTCTTTCTCCTCCTTCCTTGAGGTGACTGCCCCGTTGCTTTATCTGGATGTGGCTTCCTTTAGAGGCAATCTTTTCCACTCCTGAAACAGCCTTCAGGAGACTCTCCTTCCTCTTTGCTCCATTGCCAGCTTCGGTGTAGTACTAGACTGATCCCCTTCAGGGCAGCCTGCAGTATTATCACTTGATGACCTAGTCGGCTCCACCCCATCACACTTGGCTCATAGTGTTACCACCAGTTGCCATTATAAGACGCCTGTTACTCCGATACATATTGCATCTATTTTAAATTTGGGGCCTCAGCAACTTGACTGTTCTGTTTTTCTTAAGTTATGTTTTTAGAAAGAACAGTAGTAACTTTTGTGTTCCATTTAACTGACCTGAAAATCAAACCTTTCGGCTTTTCACTGTGCCTTCAAAGGAAGTATCAGGCCTTCTAGGCTGCTTGGCAGCATTTAAAGAGACTTAACTATGTCACTGGTGTTGGGTTTGTAGGTCCCTGACTAGTGAAGTTTAATGCAGTGTAGTTGTAGCTGTGTCGATCCCAGAGTATTAGAGGGACAAGGTGGGTGAGGTAATAGCTTTTATTGGACCATCTGTTGGCGAGAGAGATAAAGACACCGTCCCATCTCAGCAGTATAGTGGCATCTCTCGAATGCTTGTCTCTCTCTCCAACAGAAGTTGGTCTAATAAAAGCTATTACCTCACCCACCTTGTGTCTCTAATGGAGTTTGTGAGTCAAGGAACTGACTCCCCGGAGCTGTTGGAGAACCTGTAACAGTCAATGCCCAAAGCAGCACACTGTTGTCATCAGCCTTCTCCTTTAAGCTGACTGTGAGTGGGTGTGTTCATGAAGGGAAAGGGTGATTCTCAGAATGAAGTTGTATTAACAGGCTGTTTCCAAGGACCAGGATTGGTCGGTGCTTTGCTTACTCCACGGTCATCTCCTTTCGCTGGGAAATGATCACTTCTTGTAGCTGTACAGAGACACTTTGCTCTGGAAATTCCCATGCTGGATATCACCGTGGCTTCCTCTTGCTCATGGACATACATGGAAGTGTAATGGGACCTTGTTTATTAGGGCATGCATTTCATTGATGGTTAGGTTTGCTGAGAAACCCAAGGAGTTAATCTGCATGCAGAGGTTCTGTGTGGACTATAAGCTAACTCTGTTTGTTCCACCTCCCCTCCAGAACTGTCAAGTAACCCATCTTTGGCTTCGATCCTCATCCCTGCTCATGCTCGGAATCAAGCAGCTGCTTCAACCCCTACAAATGCTACAGCAGCCTCAGGTGAGAACATGCGCCTGCCTGCCTGTCTCCCTTCTCTCTCAAACTACACTCCTTCCATTAAGAAGCTTGAGTTACAGACCCGGGGTGGATGAGGAATAATTTAATTCCAACTCCATTTTAAACTCAGTCTTGTTGGATTAGCTGGCTGTGGGCACTTTGGCAATACTAACCTGAGTCCTAACCCAGCTCATTTTGATGATGCATCCTAGTGTCTGTGTCTTTCACTCAAATTTCTAGTGTGAAGAAGTGGAACAATGAGAATAAGCTCACCTTCTAAAGATCCTCCTGGTCAGTTAATTTCTGGACCCCACAGACATTCAGCGCTGATTTTGTTAAGCTCTAAACTTTAGCTAGTTTTAGAGAGGCCTAGGAAAAAAAGAAATGATCAGCTCAGTAAATGGAGCCTCATCTGAAAGATTTATTTCCAATCAAATTTTGACTGATTGTGGATAAACAAGATTTTCTCACTAATGCAAAATACATTAGCACTTCCAAAAAGGATTACCAAGGGATTCACTTTTAGTGTATTGATTTCTGCTGCACCTAAGCAGTTACAGCTTCTTATTGTGGATGCCCTTATACCAGCTTTGGGCACCAAATAATGCTCTGGCTTTTTGCCAAACCAAGAGTAGTTCTCTTCTTTGTCTGTCTCTTGCTGTCAGAAACTTATAAAACCTCATTACTGGCCTGGAGACCTACCATGGTGTGTTGTGATCCTATACGAACTTACAAGTTGAGCAGTGTTAGAGCTTGGCTAAGAGATCTCCAAGGAAAACTTGGGAGTGCAAGTATGATCAAGTATGATCTAGTGTTGATGATTCAAGAGAGGGCACTCTTTCTCCCTGAGTCAGTGCTGAGCCAATGCCTCAGTATGCTCTCAGGGGTTTTGTGTGGCTGAAGGTGTTGTCTTTCAGATGAGCCGTAGGATGTGCACAGGGAACAAAAAGTATGATTGCTTAGAGGTGATGAGAAATTAACTAGTGTGAGTTCAAAAAAGCACTGTCCTTGCTTTGCTTAGCACAGCTTTCGAAGAGCTCACATGGGGGGAAAGCATTTCAGGTCAAGTCCCAAATGTGAACTGTACTAAAAAATGGCTAATTAGTGTCTGCATTTTAACCCTCCTCTTAGTAGCCACTGTATTGCTGAGATGGGCCGGTGTCTTTGGTCCTCATGAGAATCTTTTGCAGCTACAGAGGAATTTTGATATATTGTTCAATATTTGATAACTTTCAGTTACATCTTCGTACTCTCTTGCATACACAGCTATTTTGATGACCTTGGACCCAAACCTGTGTAGTTCTTACTCTTACAAAATTCTTGGGCCGGGGACATTTAGCCTGAATTAAGATTTCAGGATTAGGCTCTGTTGGAAATTGTGCAAACCTGATTTGCTTTAGCTCTGGCAATAGAATTCACTGTCTAGACCAGGGGGTGTCTCAACAAAATTTTTGGTGGCCTCACAGTGTGATGACCAACTCTTGCTCGTGGCTGCTCTGACAATATTTCCTAAAATACTTAATTAACTTCAGGAAAAACAAATATGTATATTTACATGTCCAAATCATTGTAATTGATTGAGGTAGGGTTTTTTTGCGACTCAATAATGAAAATAATATACAGTTTGGTGCCCTCGCCTCCCCTGGTCCCCACTGCTTTCCCCCCATTGCCCCGGGCTTCCTTCCATGGTCTCAGACCCCAGGCTTCCCCCACTTCTTGCTTCTGGACCACAGCACCAAGTAAGGCCAGCCCTGCAGAAGCCCAGAGCCCCATAGCTGGAGCCGGGGGGTGGGGAGTGGGGGTGGCTGAAATCCAAAGCCCTGAAGTTAGGGTGGGGGAGGGTGAAGCCTGCTGCCGGAGCCTCTGGCTGAACCAGGGGAGGGGGGCTGAAGCCCACCCCTGAGTGCTGCAGGGAGGGGCCACTGCTTTGCCCCCTCCCCCATCTCTGCACAAGAAGCTGTTGTGGACGCAGGAAAAACCCCTGGTGGCCACGGTGGCCGCATTTGAGAAACACTGGGTCCCTGAGCAGCAAAGTTCTTCTAATCATTAAACCAGTATCAGAGCAGCATGGGAATGGGTTTGCCATCTGACACAGGGCACCCACACTGACAATGACACTTTTCAGCAAAACGTTTGCCCTTGTAAATAAATTATTCAAAGCCACTCTTACAGCGGTGAGATGTTAGCTGATTGTAGACGTAGCATGAGATTTAAAAAGGTTACACAAATTAGTGGGTTATAATTGCATGGTAATACAGTATGGCGTTTTGTCTTAGGCCTGGGCTACACTAGCGGGGGGACGGACTAAGGTTTGACTTACCTGCCCGTTCTCACGGCAGCGAGTCGACTGCCACGGCTCCCCCGTCGACTTCGCTTACTCCTCCTGCCGAGGTGGAGTACGGGCGTCAATTCGCGAATCGATTTATCGCGTCCAGACGAGACGCGATAAATCGATCCCCGATACATCGAATACTACCCGCCGATCTGTGCCTTTAAGCCAGTGAACCTGATCAGTTAGCTCAGGTAGTAGCCGCTCAGACTTCAAAATCCAGGTTTAGTCCCCACAAACAACCCTCCTTAGGGCCTTGTTACATAATCACTGTCACTTCTGATGGTGCTGAAGTGTTATTGTTACATAGCGACATTAAATCTGTGTCTTTATAATGCAATAGCTGAAAATTCAGGATACTGTGCTGATCAAAACTGGGATGGGGAAGCCAATTTTCAGCATGACAGAACACTGTCTACATCTTCCTGAGTCCAGAGCAGAGTCATGGTTCGATAATAACCTCTAAAATATCCTCTGATTGGTAGTTTTCCCCAAGCCTAGCATGGTAATGCTGGTCAGGAGAGTTAGACTTTCTTTCCCCAAATTCTGTTAGCATGTAAACTGCACTCTCGTTGGAATGGTAGCACACCTTTTATTTAACATTTGTTACAATAGCGCCTAGAAGATCCAGTCACACCCATTGTGCTAGGTCCTGTACAGACACATAAGATGACACAGGCGCTGTGCAAATTGCCCTGACATCTGTAGAATCATATACTGGGGGAGGAGTGTGTATAAAAAAAAATTTAAGAACCGATGGGTTGAATTTCTGCTTTAAGTGAAAAACTCAACTCAGCTTTAACTATGGAATCCCAACCAACCTCTTGAATGCACACACTGTGAGAGACATTATATGTGTAGTCACAACCAGCATTTGATTTTCACAGTGATTTACACCCAGCTGAGTATCTGGATCAACACCAACTTACTGCAGATGAGGATCTGGTCTGCAGTGTGTCTCTGAATGTGTTTGCTGCCATCAAACATGTGGTGGCAATAGCTATCTGCTGAAATGCATTTATCATGCAACTTTGACAGCTTTATCTGAACTTCACCTGCTAAACAGTCCCTCCCAGAACGTACTGTCACATCATAGCTTCAAACAGCTCCTGTGTAAAATGCTCCCAGAAAAAAAGCCTCCCAGATGACTGTTACCTGATTTCCTCAAAAATGTCTTTGGCCTGTGGCTCAGGCTGGGCAATATTTAGTCCTGGATGAGTGAATGTCACTTGCTTCTAGCCCAGTGAAATATCAGCCCTTGAAATGCTGGCAGTATGTGAAAGGGAATTGTTGTGTGTAATTTTTAAGAGATTTCCAAATACATTGGTTATAAATTCCCTCTCCTTCAGATTCCTGTACGGGTGGGCTCATGGTACTGATGGGAGCTGGCTTTTCAGGAAGGTGGGTATGAAATTTTGCTCCAATACCATTTGTAAACTTACTCAAACACCCCTAAACTAGGATTTCTTTGACCCAGTGGCATGTTTGAATACATGATGATTTGGGGCGGGATGAAAGTTGTACTTGCATCAAGTTTGGAATAATTGTATTGTTCACAAAGTGCTTTTCCACTTGTGCCTTATGCAGGTCATCCTAAAAGTGTCAATAAAGCCCTTATGCCACAACATCATGTATTTTTCTTCCTGGATCAATAAGCGGCCAGATAGCTGCTCTGCTAGTCAGCATTTCTACCTGAGGGGGGGTGGGTGCCATCCTGCATGGGACCCTGGCCAGCATAGCTTCAGGGATCATTTTCTGATGCATCATGCTGTGCTAATCCCTTTGATCTTAAATGAGACATGTTCCAGCATCCGCTCTGTCCCACCTTGCTGTTGAGGAACTAGAGTTGCCTGCCAGCGCAGGGCAGTTGCACAAGACCTTGATGACACTCATAATAAAGTAATATTTAGCACGTAAATGTGCAATTTCACCTTGAAAGCACTTGGAAAGCATTTATTTCTCATCACCCATGAGAGAGAGGCAAGTATTATCCCAGTTTTTTAGACAAGGAAAATGAGGCTCGGAGAGGTGCACAGATTACACAGGGTGTCAGCGACTGAAATTTCTGGCTCCCAGCTTTGGGCTTAGACCACTAGATCACAGTTCTCTATAGAGAGCAGTAAAGTACAACATGAGCCTGGATTTCTAGGCTCAAAGAACATCTCTCTGACGAATTTTGTCTCACCCCACCCTTCCCCTTGAGTCCTTAATTGTCTTTTTAAGGACCCTCAAACTATTGGCAGGCTACCTCAGTGTGTCCTTTCAGGTTAGCATTGCAATATATCAGGAATGAAAATCCCTGTGGCCTTTGACAAGTTCTTAAATCAAGTAGCATCTGAGGGTTGTAATACCCTGACTGCAGCTCCATCCTATGTAGCAGCCTTTCTGGTAGGCTTCTGAGGGACACCATGTCCCTGACCAGAAAGCAGAGGCAATTCCGGAAGTAGGACTGGGAGAAGCACCAGCAAAATGCTGCCTTACGGAGCAGTAGATCACCACCATTCTTGACAAGGTTGTGGAGACAATAATTAGGCCTAAGCCCAATACATGGTATGTTTCCATCAGGTGCAGAGCTGTCAGGTTGATAATGAGAAGGCTTCTGGCTGAGAACAGTCTCACCCCAAGCACTGCTGAGCCTGCTGCAGTCATCTCCCCAGCCTGGGGAGATTTAGCGGGAACCAGCAAACACCACAGTCACAAGTGCTTATCACAGTGGCACAAACACTAATCTACCCCCAAAAAAGGCTTTTTCTCTCTTTTTTTTACTGGTTCTGTCAAAGGCACAGATTTCCTCATGTACTCTGCTTAACTGCTGACTCCCCAATGAAGGAGGAAGAATCTGAGTGTGCAGGGCCCCTTTCTGTGCTGGGTGCTTTCAGTGCAACATCTTAGTATGGAGGCACTGAAACTAGCATATAGCTGCGCTTGTCCTGCTCCCCAGCCTGCACTCTGATGTGGCAGCACAGAACCTGCAGAAAAGCCAAGGGTGGTGTCTTTCCTAGAGTTCATGGTGTACAGCACATGGGTGTTTGCAGGCATGTACCAGCTGCCTGAGCAGCATGCACAGTCTGATCCCAAATTGGAAGGCCTTTGTATATATTGTTGTAGAAGAGCCACAAGTATGGGAACCTAGGCTGTCTCCTTGCTTACCCCTCCCTCTACTGTGTACACACAGCTGATCAGAGGCAAATGCTCTGCAGGAACTCAAGCTAGCAAACTGACCATGAGAGAAGCAGGTTTTATGTACATCACTTGGGGGTGGACTTTACCCCATTCCTCTCTGTCCATTTGATAATTACATCTTAACACTTTTAGCTGCGCTGTCTTCAGGGGCAATAAATCAAGAGTCATAGCATATTCCAACAAGTGGTATACAGAACACAGTGATGCTGTCTGTTATATGTATTCTCATACACAATGGGACTGGGACTTTTCAGCTTGGAAAAGAGATGACTAAGGGGGGACACGATAGAAAAAGCAGGGACATGATAGAGGTCTATAAAAGCATGACTGGTGTGGAGAAAGTAAATAAGGAAGTGTTATTTACTCCTTCTCACAACACAAGAACTAGGGTTCACCCAATGAAATTAAGAGGCAGCAGCTTTAAAACAAACAAAAGGAAGTAGTTCTTCACACAACACAGAGTCAGCCTGTGGAACTCTTTGCCAGAGGATGTTTTGAAGGTCAAGACTGTAACAGGGTTCAAAAAAGAACTAGATAAATTCATGGAGGACAGGTCCATCAAGGGCTATTAGCCCGGATGAGCAAAGATGCAACACCATGCTTTGAAGTGTCCCTCACCTCTGTTTGCCAGAAGCTGGGAGTGGGCTACAGGGGATGGATCACTCGATTGCCTGTTCTGTTTATTCCCTCTGAAGTACCTGGCATTGCTTCTGGCACTGTCAGAAGACAGGATACTAGGCTAGAAGGACCATTGGGCTGACCCAGTATGGCCGTTCTTATGTTCAGTGTGATAGTGAGTTAGCTATCCGTTCACGCTAACTATCTATCAGAACAGCAGGGACTATATTTTAAATCCAAGGGCTGTCGATAATGCCAACAACATACTGGTAAAATATTGGATTGCTATCTTAAGTACATTGGGATGATTTTTACTGCATTTGAGGAACCATTCTGGGGTGGAGGGAAGCCAGGACTGGAAAATAGCCTGCTACCCAGAGTAGGATTTCTCTTCTCAGCTTGATAATCCCATCTTCTGATCCTGGTTATCACTTCTCAGATGTGTGTAGGTGGTCACTCTCTTTTTCCATTTGTCTCCTTTTCTCCTAGGTGATGATGTACTGTTAACCTTCTCTCTCCTGGAGCGTATTGTCTCACTCTTCCATCATCCAGTGCTGTGCTTTTCTGGGCTCCCTTTCTTATTTATCAGTGTCCTTTTTCCAATGCGGTGCCCCCTACTTTGGTCATTATTAAGTATGGCTAGATAGAAGAACTTCATCAACAAACATGTGTTCAGCTGCACTGTACATCCCTAGAGTTACTGTTGTATTTTTTATTGCAGCTGCATTGCATGATAAGCTCTTTACTGGTGTGGAGATGGTGTCGTCCCCAGTTTTTCTCTACACAGCCTCCGATTTTGTACTTGTGCTAGCCAATGCTTTCCTTCAACTGTATTGTTATATTTACCTACATCAATCTCTGCCCCTTTTTAATGAGCCTATTTCTCTCAAGATCTCCAGTTTATGTTCATCCAATCTAACCTCAGCTGTGTTGTGATAGCTTCTTGTGTGATACCATCTGCAACACTGATTAGTTTACAATTAATTGTATTTTTTTAGTTTGTTAGTGGGGAGGAGGGAATAAAAGGGAGAGTGCCCTGTGCTAATCCTCAATTATTACCTTTCTCCAGCTTAGTATTTGTAATGATCATAAATTTCTCTTTCTTCGTGGTCTGTGTCAGCCAATTTTGTGTTATCCATACTCACTGGACAATAGCTTAGTTTTCTGTGTGGGACTATACCAGATACATTTTCCCTTTCCACCAGAGCTGTAATTGTGCATAAGATTTATCAGCTTTGTCTGTCCTCTACAAAAACATGTGGTTAATTGGCCATCATGTTGTTCTTATATATAGGTTTCTGTGTTGACACCTCTAATATTTTACCCAGTTAACAGCATCCTGACTTGTTTTATCCTTTTTTAAATATTTGCTTTTTCCAGGCTTCTTACACCTCACCTATTTTCCTCAAATGTTCACAAATGCACCAGCAAAACATTGAGATTCTCTCTGGAAGGACCTTTCGGTCACAGTCAAAGATCCAGCTTGCCAACAGATTTCTATTTTGTTATAAACTGAAATGATCTGTGCTGCTTCTTGTACAACAAATGAAAGAATGCCATTGAAATGACCGAGTTTCCAAAGAAATAGGAAAAAGAAACAATCCTTTGCTGCACTTCCTTAGAAAGCATCTTGACACATGCCCACCTTACACTATAGAGTCTCTTTCCAGTGAACACTGTTGTCTGAGTTAGGGAAGAGAGAGAGCGTGTTTCAGGTTATTCACCTCCAGGCACTGATCCTCCAACAGTGCATTGTATAAGCCTCATTACTGGCTTCAGCCTTGACATTAATCTACTTTCAGCAGTTAGGAAGGTGGCAAGTCTGTCTTGTGTTGAGCAACCACAAAATAAAGCAGGGTGGATAAAAATCAATTATTTAAAAAAATAAATAAAAATCGGATTTTTTAATTTAAATTAGATTTTTTTGATAAAATGCTTTTTCAGGAAAAAACCTATCTAAAGATAGTTTTAATTAAAATACATTATAGCTCAAAGATATCTCATCATGGAATAGGGATTATAAATTCTAATTCTATAGTATGAGACAATACATTTATGTAATGTTTAAGAAAAGTTTGGTAAATGAGTTCCAATAGTTCATGGATTAGGGATCCAATCTTATGGGGTTCCACAGACTTCTATATAGATTATTTAGGTTAATCTTTCTATCTACCCAATGGGACTCAGTGATCAACCTAGAAGATACATCGGAGATGCTTAATTTTGAAGTTCTCAAACTGTGGATTTGTCTCTCCAGAGGTAACATGCGTGTTAACAGCAAAAAGGTTTTTAAATAAATAAATAAATAAATATATAGAGGTGAGAAATAACAGACCTCAACTCTATTGTCTCTCTGCAAATTTGTGTACACAGAATCAATCCCTTACCTCTCTCTAAAAGTGCAAAGTTTCAAAAAGTTCAATTAATAGAAGATTGTTGGGGGCAGAATAGATCTGGACAAGGAGAAGAAGTCTGGAGATAAATGTGAGAAGTGAGGGACATATGCTTGTTTTGTTAAAATATGATATGTTTGCTGTTGAAGAAAAAAATCCAGAATACTTAACGTTGTTGTTTTAGTTAAATAAAACAATTTAAATGTCTGTCTGGTGATGTTCTCCTCCTAATACAGCATGGCAAGAAAATCCTCCAAATAATGATTAACCTGTTGAATTGGAGATAGTTCACCTCCCAGTGACTTCATAAATATCTGCTTCAGTTACCTTTGGTAAATGAAATAACCAAACAATCATTCATTTTCTGATATAGCTGTAAAACTAATCTGAAAAGTTTTCAAAATAAATCACGGTTTAAAAATGTATAGTGTGTACCTTCTAAAAATGAAACCTAATCTATGAATTGGGAAGAATATATATTAAGGTTATAACAACCAACAAGAATGCACTTTTTTGTAGAAAATCATGATTAAATCAAGTCTTCCTGACTAGTGATTTAAATCAATTTGATTTAAATCAAATCCACCCTGAAATAAAGCAATAGACTTGAAAGACACGTATTGAGGGAACCAGCGTATGAACTACACATTAATACACAAGCTGTTTCTACCAGAGACTGTGGCTGGTTGCTTTCATTGTCTTGGCTCATTCACACATTTAACAGATGGCTTCACTACATGATGGACACAATATAAAGCCTGAGCACCAATGGGAAAGCTTGTGATAGCCATACATACTTTGGGAATGTGAGTGTGCCTTGCCATGCCAGTAAAGTTACTGAATTCTAACATGACTGTGAGTGTTGCAGCAGGTTTTCCCCCTGGGCTGCCTCTGGCATACAGCTATACACACTTGCAGTTTAAAGTGCGAGGTAGCGCTAGTACCCTGGTGACTTCAACCTTTGAAAAAGGCTTTTCTGCTGCTCCATTTGAGTCAGTAATATGCTGCTTGCAGATCATGCCCCATTGAATCACTCCCGCCTCACCCATGATTGCGTTCAGGAGAACCCCTTAACCCCACAGCATGGCACAGTGATGCAGAGTACATTGGTTCTAAGTTGGTGGGGGCTGTAGGGCTGTGTGCACCATAAAGGTCAAATCCATTGATTGAGGTGCCTGTTGCTTGGAAGTAACACTGCTTTTTGCTCTCCCCTTTCTGTCGTTGGCAGATGTTAATGCAGGAGAGCGAGGTCAGACCAATAACGCAGCTTCAGCATCAGCCTCCAACTCCACCTGAAGTGGTCCCACGCAAGCCAGCTGCACAGGAAAAATCACCAGTAATTTGAGTCTTGCTCAGCAACACTGGTCACATTTGGAAAGAAAATTAAAAAGAGGAAAAAAACAAAACAAAACAAAACCCTGTTCATTTTAGTGTTCAATTTTTTTATTATTATTATTGTTCTTATTTAACCTTGTAAAATATCTATAAATACAAACCAGTTTCATTGTATTCGCACTCTGCGGGGTCTCCAGGGCAAGGGAATAGGTGGGGGGGAGAAGGGAAAGTGGAGCAATAGAACACATCAATGTCTCTTCCCTTGACAATCTCTTCGTATGGAAAGTTTGCTGTTGTGTACTTCAGAACCAGGACTCTTGCCTCATGCCCCCTCCCACAACAGAAAGAAGGAAAAAAACCTCATTCTCTGCTGACGTGTTTTTTTTTTTTTTTATAACCTCTTTTTTTATTTTCTTTTTAAGTGAAGTTTCAGACTTTGGTGTAGTGCACAGCTTGAATTTGGTTGGGAGCTTAGCCGGGATCATTCAACAGAGCTAAGTGTGTCTTGTAAGTGAATCCATATCTAGGCTATCAGAAGAACTGCCTTTGGCATGGTCTGGGAGGTGGGGAGGTGATAGGACAATAGGTAGCCCAGGGGACGGGGGGTGCTTACTGTATGTCTAAACTTGGAACTGCTAGTGGAAGACTTATTTTAAAAATTAGCGCTAGCAATAGAGAAACCTGCAGCTTCAATATGGAAAAAAAGTCTATCCAGTGGGATATATATATTTATAATATATACACACACGCATGTCAAACACACCTGGTTAGCTTTATTGAAGCAGCTTGTTTGCCTAGTCTGAGCTCCTCCACCAAGCCTTGGACTTTTTTGTTTTTAAAAGAGCCATGTAGTGCAAGAGAATGGCCAGTCAGCTCTAATCTCCAGCAGAGAGAAGATGATGAATGGAATCCCACAGGAGGAGGGGGCAGGCGGAGTTATGGGGCCTTTTGGAAAGTGGCCACTGTGAAAGCATTTTTCAGTTTTTCGCTCTGAACGGGATGCCCTTTCCCGAGATGCACACAGGAAAAGGACATCAGGGTTTATAATGTGAACTGTAACAATCTACTGGTTTATTTGTAATATTTTTTTACTGCAGTTTGAGCTTGCAGATTGCCACGCTCTATAGATCTAATTGTAAATCCACAGCTAGAATCTGTATTTAATTTCATCATTTTAACCTCCTGCTTTTTTATCTTTATTTATTGATGCATGTGGAGTTGCCATTATGATGTTTTTACATTGGTAGAATAAAATACACATCGAAGTGATATCAACAGTAACTTGTACCTGCTGACTTGAGGGGAAGCTGACTACATAAGTGTGTGTATATAATATAAATAGATATGTGTATAACATAGATACAGTACTGCTTTTTGAGTTTTATTTTGTCTACAGCCGTTAAATGGTCTGATTGAAGCATAAGATGAATGTTTGTTTCCAGTCTGAGTTTAAGGGTTTTTTTTTCTGTAGTGGTGAATGGTGTAAGAATCAAAGTCTCCATTTCTGAAGTTAAAGCAATATTCTTGGAAAGAGTCAGTTGAGCAGCAGGAAGTTGCAGCTGCAATGTAGAAATAGACTTTTGAGACCTGGTCTGTCTTATCCTTGAGGTTGATGTCCATGTGGGCCTTATACACATTCAGAGAAACCTTAGTCACCTTGGTGCTTATGGGCTATTACTTGACCTGTGGATCTTTAAGGCACAATAAATTGTTTCTGACATTTACAGACTTTTATGTGTGGCCCAGGAGTAGCCAGCAGTAGCGGCTAAGTAAACTCAGTCACTGCAGGGTGGCAGGAGGTTTGTTTATGAATTCAGTACATTTCCTGTCCCTGTGCTTCATATTTGCCCGTTTGTGGGATTTTTTTGAAGGAATGTTTCTTAGCAGCCGTAGAGGTCCCTCTGTCCTGTCTGCTGAACAGCGGATGTCCGGGAGAGGAGTTGTTTGCACAGATGAATGTATACCTGGAAGGAGAATGGATAATTCACCTTAGTTATGTCCCTCATTATTTATGAAACTGGGGGCAACAGAAAAGATTTTTAAGCAGCTCTAGACCGATTACAGCTGAAGAGAAGGGAAATCACATTTTTCAATTGAACAAAAACACCCCCAGCTCCTGTAATAAATAACTGAGGCCTGAAAGGAGTGTTAATGCAAGAAATCAGCCAGTGAGTGCCGTGAATGATGGACTAAAGCCTGGATGATCAAATGTCTGGAGAGACTTTAGAAGACTTGAAAAGCAGGGAACAGTAGCTGTGACTAGATCTGCTTTATAGACAAGACAGCTGGAAGGCTGGGCAAAGACATTTACTCTGGACTGGGGACAGTAAATTACCAAGTTGATAAAAATCGCTGCTTGTTTCAGGTGCCGTCCTAGGTGGTTTGTTTGTTTTTCATTCAAGGTTGGTAGAGGAGGAGAGTTAAGAGCTTTTCTCTCATTCTTTTAGTTCTACTTCATGACGGTGCAGGTGTGTCTGTGTGTAGGCTGGTGTCTCTGATTTTCTTTTTCAAGGATCATGGCAGGATCACAAACGCTTTTATACATGTTAGATCCAGGCCTTTGAATAACTTTTTTTTTTTTTTTTTTTGTAAATAAGGGTATGGGGGGAGCTCCTCACCAAATTCAAGCTTGTACATTATTTTTGATTGATTGTTTTTAAATTTTGAGTTTTATTGTTTTGTATGTAAATATGTGGACCCAGGAACTGTTATTAATGAGCAAAAAGTTACCGTTCAGGGCAGTGATTCTGTTTAATAATCAGACAAAATGTAGACGAGCTTTTTAAAGCCATATAGTTTTAACTCTGTACAGTAGGTACCGGCCTGTATTATTGTAACAATAACTCTAGCGATGTATAGTGTATCTATATAGTTTGGAGTGCCTTCGCTTCCATGATTTTTTTAATTTTATTTCCCTTTTTTTTTGTCCTTTTTAACAGCTGTATCCCAGACAAAATGGCATCTTTGCTCCCCTGCTTTCTAACCCTTTGGAGTGCTTGTAAGGTTTCAGTGATACCATGGTCAGTAGTGGAACGAAAGGAAATTGTGTTTGTGACCCATTTCATTCGAGCCGTGGCTTTGCTCTGGATGTTCTAAAGTTGCCCACCACCGCACCCCAATAGCAATGACTGGTTTCATTTTACACTTGCCCTCTTGGCACCTAGTAGCTAGCAGCTAGATTAGACTTTGCTCGTCTCTCCCTATTCCATGTGTCCAGAGGTCTTGTGGACAGCAGCTTCCAGAAGCCTTTGGTTTTTTGTCTCTCGCTTCACTGTATTAAAGAGAGAGCGAATTGGACTTTTCCAAACAGAAAAGAGAGTTTAAAATCCCCCTAGTGTTCTACACTGGTAGCCAGACAGCCGGCAGGACAGCTGTGGTGCTCTGGGGCCATTCCTGTAGAACACTATAGCATCTTTGTAATACGGGAATTTCCTGTTCCCTTTTCTGCTGTTCCCCAGCCCCTCCCCGTCAGTTTATTTTCTTAAGATGATAACTTTAATGTTAGTCTTGATTTCTTGTGCCCAGCACGAAGGCCTTGTTTTTAAAACTAGTTCACTTGTGTTTTCTACCTTGTTAGTATTCCACATAAGATTGTCTTGAATGGGAAAACACTTAACTCTTTACCAAACCAAAGGTTGCTGTTTTTTTGTTTTTTGTTTTTCTTTTTTTTTTTTTTTTTTTTTTTTTTTTTTTTTTTTTTTTTTTTTTTTGATCCATCTCGTGTCCATTCCAGTGAGGCAGAGGCTGTACTTTCTTTCTGGTGACACGAAGGTCAGTGATGTCAATTTGTTTTTGACAGTCCACTCGGAATTGTTACTAGCTTCTTTTTTTTTTTTTTTTTCAATTTTATTTTTGGCTTGTTTTTAATGAAGTATGGTCTTGATCTGTCATTTTGTCTACTCTGCAATTGCATATGTTTCTGAGATGGAATTAATTACATTCTCTGTGTCCCCTGGTGGACGTCAATCAAGACACTGGTATTTTAATTTCAAACTTAGCTACCTTTTTAAGGAAAAAAATTAATGATGGTCATTTACCTATAAATTAAAAAAAAAAAAAAAAAAAAAAGAGGCTGATCCAAGATCCCAGTTCACTTTTCTAGTTGTTTTAAACAAGTTTTATCTAAATAACGGCAGATGCCTGCAATTCGCAACTCGAGATCATTTTAAATGTTTCCAGACTTGTTGTGCTTTAAAAAAATTTGCCAGTAAACTTGTCTCTGTTAGAAATCTCAGCTACTGAAGGTTAAAAAAAAAAAAAAAAAAAAATACAATCGCTATCAAAGCACAGTAGAGTATTCGACCCAGGAGCTACTTTTCTGAGAATATAAAAAGGCATCTTTGGTGTTCCCATTATTTCCACAGGGGTTTTAGTCAGTTTTTGTTCATGGAATTTGTTTCATTTCGCAACACTGCAATAACAGCAAAACAACAAAAAAGTAAAACTAAAAACCAGTACCTAGGGGGTTAGCTTGAGAAAAGTAGCTTCCTTGTGTTGTTCTTCCTCAATTTTTTTTAATATATATATTTATATATATATATATATAATTTATATATATATAAATTTTATATATATATATAATTTGCTTGCCTGTAAAATTTGCGTTCATTAATGTGTTGCTGATGGATCACTTGGGCCTGTATACACACAAATTAGCGTGACCACTTCCATCTTAAAAACAGAAATCTAAAAAAAATAAATATATATATTAAGGACTGTGGGTTGTATACAAACTATTGCATACACTTGTGCAAATCTGTCTTGATTTAAAGGAAAAGCAAAACCTGTATAACTATTACTACTTGAATGCCTCTGTGACTGAATTTTTTTTCATTTTAAATATAAACTTTTTTTGTGGAAAGTATGCTTAATGTTTTATTATTTCCCCCGCCCCTCCTACCCCCTTGTAAATACATTTTGTTCTGTGTGACTCGGTTCGGAAATAGTTAACTGGTACTGTAATTTGCATTAAATAAAAAGTAGGTTAGCCTGGAAATTAAATTTAAAAATGCAAAGTGTGTGGTCTTTATTTCAAAACCCTGCCTTTTCTCTCCTCCTCTTCCTGCTCCACCCCATTCCTCACCCCCCAAAAATAGGTGGACATGACTCTGTGTAATAATTAAAACACAAGAAATAAGCATGTTTTCTTAAATGATCTGTGTTATTCCATGATACTTTCCCAAGAGATGCCAGCTTCTGTCTACAATTCCATTTGGTTTGATGGAGCGAGGAACCCTGCGGCAATACATCTAAAACCACAAAAAACGTTACCCTCCACCTATAGGGGCAAGCTAAGAACCTGTGTAAATTGCTGGCTTTGAATACCGCACTCATCTTTTTTTTATTTGATCCCATTAGTAATGTTATTTGGTGGTGATCTGTAAAGTTTGTCAAGACCACATCCAGTGGGGCTGTTCCTCCAACAAATCAGCACATTGCTATCTCTGAGTTGGGTTTTCCAGTACTGGATAATGTATGTATTAAACATGACTTGTCTATTAGCGCAACAACAAAAATCCTTTTTGGGCTGGCTGACCTGGCCACATCCGTTCTGTCGCTA